CGATGTTTAGAATGTATATTGCACATTTCATACCGACTGGTTTTGAAAAAGTGGAAAATTAATATCTCCGATCGGCCACTTTTCGAAGAAAGGAAGGCACGTATCATTAATGATTTGAAAGAAGAAATTCACATTATTGTTGACACACCTAAGTCAGTATCCGGAACAACAAACGATGACAGTACTGGTAGGCGTTTTTTAGCCAAAATGGCTTGGCATCGTCGATAACTGGTGTTGATGAAAAATTAATTAAAAATTTTAGTATCATCCTTTCAACCATGGTCTGTGGATATGCTATTAACGGAGAGTCTTTTAAAAAACTTACTGAGGAAACATTTATTCTTTTCGTGGAATTATATTCTTGGTGTATATGCCTTCAAGCATACACAAAATATTAGTGCATGGAGCTGATATAATTAAATGTGCAGCTTTGCCCATAGAAATGTTGTCTGAAGAAACCATGGAATCCAGAAATAAGGACTTTCGGAACTACAGGGAACTTTACACCAGAAAAATTAGTCGTGAGGAAACAATGAGGGATCTTTTCAATAGGTTGCTTTTTTTTTTTTTTGATCCAAAAATATCAAGTTTGTCTCGTAGTACATCTCGTAACCATCGATATAGTGAGCCACTATCTGAAGAAGTCCTTAAACTACTGGAGGATCCAATGCTACCAACTAATTCAGATCAAAACTCGGATTCTGAATGTGATTAGTATTTAATAAGTAACGCCTAAATTTTGTAAAATATATATAGTTTAATGGTTTAGATATGTAATATTAACAATAATAAAGATATATATAATAAAAATAGTGTTTGCCCCTAACCCACTTTTTACCCTCCAAATGTTTCGGAATTTTTAAAAGAAGCTCCCATTTTAGGAGTACTATTAGTTATAACGAAAAATGTTGCTTATTATAAAATGTTTCAAATGCTTCAAAATAGTAATTTTCACCTAAAAATTTTTTTCATAAAATAATTAAAATTGTCCATCTTAATCTATTCTTATCCAAAACATCGACAAACATACAGTAAAACATCTACTTTTATTTTCTGCGCGCTAGATCTGCATTTTTTCCCACTGTGCGTTGCACAGTGGTTCCTCCCACCATAGTGCAGTAATCTCATTACAGTCAATGTCCGGTACTACGAATGATATATATGTATTTATATATGTCACTACAATGGTATCGTTTTAAAAATGATCGTATTATTATTCGGCGTCCTTTGAAATTTCGGATAAGATCCCACAACACTTCATTTGTAAACACGACTTGAACTTTAAAAATTCAAATCAAATGGTTATTCATATATTTTTCCAACATATGATACAGAAACGTTAACAAATAATATAACGTAGTGGTTTACTTCCAAGTACCGGACCAATGCTGTAATAAATGTATATTTATTGCAATTTTATTCTATCCCCATTTGAAAAATTGGTTGTGGCAATTATCCGTCGACATTTTCCAATAGATGGCTTTTCCACTGTTGTTATGATATCATAACTACAGAGAAAAAAATCAAACATTTAGACGGTTTTGCATTAGCCGGTAAAAATCGAAAATCTATTTTGAACAGGTTTGACAAAATCGAAAAGTCGACTTTTTAGTTTGTCGTACTTTACACTATTCGTCATGAGAGTTTTTATCTCTCTCTCTCTCTCATTGGTAAGTTGAGGGAAGAGTTGGAAAACAGGTAAGGAACAAAAAGTACGAATGGATACCTTACATTTTACTTCACATTATAATAAATCATAATTATCGAGAAATATTGGCCAATACATACCAGCTATTTGCATAAAAAAATATTTGTTATAAATTAAGCGTAAATGTATACACGATTATTAATAAAATTTACATTTTGTTTTGGTACTTTCTCTGCCACAAGATGCAGAGAAACACTGCCACAAGATGTATTTAAGTGAAATCACATAAAAACGGGACAATGTTAAATTTCTGTTACCATACATATATTCTGTAATCCGGACTCTATTTCGCAAAACGGAATTCAGGGAAACATAATAAAGGGTCTGAAAGAAAGATTTTTAAGAACAACTCTAATCGAATTATGTGATCACCACTATACATATATATCGCTGGCTTTACTTGTAAAGGACACAAGTCCATTTTTCTAGAAATAGAGGTTTTGATACAGTTATGTGTAATAAGTCAATGTTATGTTATTTTATAATGTTATTTTGTATTGATGAGTGGCTTAGCGTCATGTAAAGGTTCTAATTCCACTTTTTATTTTGAGGATTTTCACCCTTTGAGCACCGATTTTTTTGTGCAATCTTAGAACAAACTTCTGTTCACAGATTTAGTGCAACTATCCTAAATAGGACATGCACAAAATTGGACATCGCTACATCTTTGCATTCGGGAGATACAGTACATTCATTCGGAAAAATTAAAGTCCAATATAAAGAAAACCAAATGCGAAATCGACAGAAAATTAATTTTAAATTATTCTCTATGTTCATTTTTAAGAGAATCAAAAATAATTCTCATGACACAATTCGTACAATTTGAATTTATATAATTACTTTAAATAATTTGGACTGTATACACAAATTAGTGGAAGTGATGCAAATGTGGTATAGGTTGGTAATGTGGTATAGTCACTTTTTTTGTAAACTGAAAATTTTAGAATAACTGAAACATTTTCTATATTTTGCTGTTCTCAAAAAAAAAAAAAATAAGATAGCAATGACCTGTTTAATTTATTTAAATCACGTTGAGAATCAGTACCAAAAATAAAATTTTTCATGAAATTGACTTTTTTTCGGTTGAAGTTTAAAAATAATTTTTTGTTTTACGGATGTACTTTAATCCTTATTACTAAAGCATTAAAATAATCAGTATGAACTAAAAATCAAATAATATGCGCGATTGCACCACATAATCACCAATTTGGAAAAAAACTAGACATTTCTTCAGTAAACACAAGTGTAGGTAATGTGGTATACCTTGATTCTGCATGAAAAAAGGCCAGCACTATACAACATCTCATTACTATGTGAAACATTTGTACTCTACGAGAGTCTACCATGAGTCACAGGGATGAAAAACAAAGGCTATGAGCTTTAACAACTTCTCCATACAAAAATTAAATATTGCCATGTGTAGACATTATTATATAATAAAAATTAAAGTTGCACTCAACGTATCCGTTAAAAATCTTAACAGACATAAATTTCGAGCTAATTCGCATTCATTAAAAACGATAAATTATATAAGATATCAATTGGAAGTGAAAATTATACTATACCACATTAACATCATGTGGTATGGGATTTCAACATATGGGATTTCAAATATTTTCTCAAATATCTCTTAAATTGTTAGAATAATATTATTTTCTAATTGATACATGGGAAGACAACACATGTAGCATGTTAAGTGTAAATTTTCAATTTAATCGGATAAAAAATAAAAATTTGGCAATCTAAAAACAAATGGGTATACCACATTTGCATCACCTCCTATAGTACTGCACACAAATTTACCCTCTTCTCTATATTAAAAAGCTCAAAACTTTACTTAACGACTCTTTTACTTGTTTTTACTAATATTGAAGTTAAGCCAGCGATATATACTTTAGTGAGAATGACAAATTTTATATATTCCCTACCATTAAATTTGCCTACTGCATATTAATGCGGTATTGGCTCTCTTGAATTGTAACTACTGTGCGACTCACATAACCCACATGTTGGAAGCAAATTGTGTCAAACATTAGTCAACACCGAACCGACCATAACTGGCATGTTGTGTCAAATGGCAGTTATCTATTCGCTTGGCACACGGACACAGCGACAACCGGCCCTTCTCCCCCTCCCAGATACCAAAACAATTATTAAGTTGCAAAAAAAAGAACGAAAACAAAACAAAAACGAATATTTTAATTTGTTTGTTCGATGATTGTGTTTTGTCAAACAGGTTTTAGCCTAAAACACAGAAAAAGAAACAAGCATCAGTCAAACATGTATGCACAGCGCTACTTCGAACATGTACAAACATATATATGTATGTTGCGGTTGCCTTATTCGTGCCGTTTACATGTCGGTGTTCGAAGTTTTCGTATCGTATCTGAGTATTAATAAGTGTGGTTGTTTTTGTATACTGTATCGCTGGCAAGTTCCGAGTGCCTGTCCGTTGGTTGCCGTTCCATACGTTTGAATCGAGTTCGGTCGCTGTGGCCGTAGTAGATTTTTGGAATTGTGCTCAGTTCCTTTCTGACTGTTGTCGAATGTCGTCGTCGGGCGTTGTGAGTCGATATTTGTGAAGTCGGTTGATATGTGTTTACACAAATTGTTACAAGTGATAAAATAATTGGAATCAAACGTAGATCGAAAATCGCAAAAATTGCTTTCGCTGAACACGAAGTGTACGACTATAAAAAATACATGTCATATCAATTGAGAGCTCGACAAAATTCAGAAATATAAAAGTGGCTTGTTAAAATTCGAAAAACAATAAAAATGTAATGGCAAAAAACCGGTTAAACAAATTTCGAGCGCGTTTACGACAAGTGAAGTGAGTGGCAATTGATGTTTAAGAGAGAATAAGTGTTAACGCTTTCAATTAAAAAAGTCAAAACAGACGCGAATGTACGCACAAAAACTGTGTTTTGAATCCAAATCAAGCAAACTACAGCATTCGAATGAAACAAACAAACAAAACCGAAAACCTTCAATACAAAACCTAACTCACACACGCACTCGAAAAGAAGTTCCTGTTGCTTGCCAAACGCGTTACGCGAACCAACAAAACTCAAAATAACTCCGTCTGGTGGATTATAATCGCCGAAATCGCTGCAGCTGCAACCCAGCGCTCACTTTCAGGAAACAACAACATATTGGATTACCAGCGAAATGGATTACAAACGTTTCGTCGCCTCACCTTGAATATTTACTCTTGACTTGGATAATTTTTATTTTTTTCGGCGGAAAAACTATAGTTTTCGTCCGCGCGTCCAAATATTCCCTACCGATTTCGAGAAATGCAATTAATTGTCGACAAAATTCCCATGTTGTCGAAACAGAGCACCAAACGCAATTCCAAAAAGTAAGTACATTGGGCACAAGAACGACAACACCAAGCAATTTGATCGACTGGTGCAAAAGTCGCAAAACGACGACAAAAATTGACCTTTGAGAACCGAATAAATCTGACAATTCGAGCCGTGTCCGCGTATATGTGTGTTCGACAGACCGTGCAAGTGCATTTAGCTCACGTTCTTCCATTGCACTAAAATGCAGGCAGCAAAGCGATGGAAACGAACGAATCAACCGACAACCTGCTCCGTTGCAAAATCGTTGAGTGTTGAAGTGTGAATATTTCCATTTTCGTACTTTGTATATCTGGCCGAATTGTCCAATGACAAAACATCAATTCGTTTGATGGCTGTAAATTCAAATCTGATCCCAGGCAAAACAACGCTAATCTGTGGCACGCCACCGTGTGTTCATTGAACCACAGCGTAGTACGTACAAACCAGTCTGTCAACAGAAAGGCCAGCTACGGAAAATATTCGCCGACGTCTGCAGTGCGCCTCCGTAGGCATCACCCTTGCAACTGTGCTCTTGTCGTACTCGGCTCTCTTATATCAGTTGTGGATTATTATAACCCCACAGTCAGTCAGTCAGTCGGCTGCAGGCACAACAGCGACCCGAAACAGTGGCTGTTAACAAACATGTTAAATTGAGGTAAAATATCTAATTTCTGTGTAAAAACAAAAGAAACAATTTGTTCTCCAAATTCCTCCTTGTTCTTCGATACATTTATTTTCTTAGCAACGAAGACAAAATCTGCCTCTGACAAACACTAATTAGATATTTTATTTGCAATATTTCGTTGTTGTATTTTGAAAGTTTTTATTATTGTTTGTGGCTATTTATGTGTTGTTTTTTTGTTGTTGTTAATGTACATATATGTAGCCTCAGAACTACATAGTTTATTACACATACAAATCAATTCACGTGAGAATTATGATCTGGGGAAAAGTTATTGTATTCTAATGCTATCCACACTGGCCGTTGTATCATAGAAACCGAAATATTAATATCAGGCCGATCAGTGTTTGGACCGTACCACAGATTAGGTACCGATAATACCCTGACAATACTTGTTTTATTGTTCCGAAACGCAACTACACTGGTCCTCGTATCTTACAAACCAAAATATAAATATCAGACCGATCAGTGTTCGAAAAAAAAAAACGTTACATTATCATTAATTGTATAATTGCCGGAATACCACAACTTTTAATGCCTAACTCGCGTACCTAATGTTTTGTACTGGAAGTACATTGCGGTGTTTTAGAGGCTGACATATATCTTCACAGAAAATCACAATTTATTTGACATAGCTGCAATATAAAGGTCCTGTCAAATGTTTGGCTCTAATTCGGCATATCTTGGTTCTGCCAAAAACTACCAAGGGGTCCTATTTTTTGTGTACCTGGGTCTTCCTAGAAATATTTTACCCGCCGTATATATAAGTTCCGAACGAATACGGTATTACAAACTTAACGAGGTTTTTACTTCATTGTATTAACAGTAACAAAGCATGGAATAATTTCTCATTTTTTCTAAGGTATTTTTTCAACTATTGAAATATGTATTTCTGGCCATTTTATCCTCAAACAAACTGTGCTCTCTGTTATCAATGGATGTGGAAAGCTCATTGTGATACATCACTGAGCCTCAATGGATCTTGTTGGTATTTTGGATGAAACTATTCCAAGTAATTCAGACTCATTAATTGTTGTGAATTTTAAAATTTAGCAAAACCACCACCATTCGCACTTAATACATATCACCATATTCACCCCATTTACCAGTGTAGACGTTCGTCACCCTCTCACAGTCATTGGAATGTATTCAAGAAATTCGAAAACAATGCCGGTCCCAAAAGATGAGAACACACGGGAACACAAAACTAAATAACATACAGCAAACCATTTTCAAATCAAGCTTAACAGCAAGATATGACGCATTTAAGGCAGTTTAGGTTGACATTTACAGCCTGTACGTCTGAATAGTACAGTCTATGTGCCACTGAATGAGTATCCTTTTCAGAATTTTACCAATTATAACAAAATGACCTCGTCCACATTTCCGATTTTTATAATGAGTATCAAGGGATGAGTATTCACTCAGCAAAGTTGCTACCAACATTTATTAAAAAAAATATGTTTCTGATTTAGTAAAAATATCCGTTAAAGCATAATATATATATATATATATATATATTATTTAATTGCATAAAAGGAAAATTAAAGGCTTGGTATTTTGGAAAAAGTTTCTAAAGTCCGAGTTTTTCTCATGTAAAATGTTCTTATGTCCGTGGCCTACTGTATTTCAAATTCATGGGGCAGCTGACAATGTATGTCCCCGTTTTGTGTAGACCCATTAAATGGTAAATCCCATTTCACACTTAGTTCCAAACAAATCCTAGAGTAGGGCGTAAATTGTATGTGTTATAATATCAACACCATGGCATAAATATCGAAGACCATGTATTTTGCCAGTGTTTGATTTTGGCAACCCTGTTCTTTATTTTCGTTGGGATGTATTTCTGCGTGTATGGAACATTTATAATATTCTCGAATCGCTAATGTTGTTAACCTTCATTCGGCGATGACGCTTAATAATTAGTTCGTTGTTTTGTAGTTCATTGCATTCAGCGCTCTTCGTTGTCGCACTGGGCATATCTCTCTGCTTGTTGTCATTGTGTGTTCAGAGTTACTCAAAAATCTACGTATGCGTCGCAGCAAAGTGCTTCGTGGATAAGTAAAATACCCAACACACAAAATGCATTAAGAATAATATTGCACTATAATGGCCAACACAAGCATTTCACTTGAAGACGGTTATATCCAGTAGATCGTTTTCGTTACTTTATTTACAAAGGCTTGTGCAAATTAGACTAGTATAAACAGGCATGGTTTATGGTGTGATCAGCTCGTGTGTTAAATAAGTAGAAATCAGAGTAAAGAATTTGTACTCTTCTAATGTTATCGCTTCCTGAGAATGTTATTGTTCGTGTCTTTATTTATACGCCGATTGTGTGGTTTACTGGACAGCGCGGAATTATGTTGGGTAGCATGCTTCAGTTCATTCAGTTCGCAGTTGAGAGAAATATTTAATTTCGTTTGGTCACAATCACCACAACCACCAACTACGCATTCTGCAATACGAGACACTTGGTATCAAAACACAATACAAGCCTCACTTATTAGCGCAATCCCGAAAATCATGCTTATTCTCTACGAAAACAAAGCAATAGTACAAGGGAGTAAAGCCACTTATTGGGTGAAATGCGGCATCTTGCCTCTTTTTGATATTTTTTGTGGGAGTAGTGCAAATTCCCTACGAAACATGTTTTTTTTTTTTTTTTTTTTTTTGGTGGGCAGAATTCATTTGTGCAACGGCTAAGACCCTAACAATTTCATCCATTTATCATGACTGACCAGGTCGAACTAACTAGAATGAATGGCTATTACATCTATTGAATAATTTAAAATGTCATGCGATATGATATCAACCTGAAGATAGATTCGTCGAATCCATGTCTTTAAGCATACTAAACTAAATGGAATAAGGTATTATAAAATTGTAACATAGCATGTGCCCGCTAATCCGTTAGCGATTGTGTGAATTATTTTAAAACCAATACCGACCTCAACAATACTCACCCATTCTTGCCACAACAGAAATCTAGCTTTATACTTCGTATCATTTACTACCCTTTATACTCTTGTAATACATATTTCCAAATTTCAAATATAGGTTCATCCATGGTATAATTATTACAAGGTAGGGCACAGCTGCCAACTGATTACTATTTTTTCTCAAGGTGGCAAAATACATATTTTGTGCATGTGTGTGTAATGTTTTGAATACTATGTCAAATAAATTCAAAATAAATTGAAATATTTTCAAATTTAATTCAAATGAAAATTATGTTTTTAACATGTTCGTCTGGAAATAATTACTTTGTTATGGATGAAACAAACATTTGATGGTATTCCCTACTGGATTTTGGGAAGAAATAATAACCTCTCATTCATTTTTCGCGTTTTTAGTTTTGTGTTGAAAAAATGTCAAATAAACACAAACACTTGTTGCGAATATTTATTTTAATTTGACAGAAGAAGCCACACGTGCATAGATGCTTTTTTGTTATTCACCTCAAGCTGCCCACCTTGTATTATTGTACCAGGGGTTCATCCACATACAAATTTTGTATCAGTTAGTACACATTAATATAAAATTCCATAACTACCTACTTTAACAATCATAAGTATGAATTTCTAAAACTTCCCACATGCGATTTGTTTACCTAAATTCAAATTGTATCGAATTTAGTATTCCATACAATCCAATGGAAATCTTATTACCCATATTGCATATAATTCAAATTCATTTCTATAAAATAAAGTGTTCTTCTAAAACTCTTAAAATATTGGTAATAAATACCATTTTTAGCAAAAATTGTTTCGGCACAAGTCCAGATATATTATCCGTAGTATGGGCAAATATATTATCAGCAACCATATCTGCATTGAATACAAAATTAGTTTTGTCCTTAAATTTTAAAAGAACATTAGTTTAGCGAATATAGTTTAAGAAAAAAAACCTACAAGCATTTAGAGGTGAGTTTTCCATTTCAACTTCATATATTTATCTATTTCGAAATGGATTTTTTGTAAAAGGGTGATACTTTGTAATTTTACAATAACAAATTTATTGATGTTAACTTTTAAACTTCTCCAGTAACTATTTAGTGACACCAAAGAAGATAGAAATAGGACAGTTAATTTTCACCTGAAAATTGTCTTCTTGTATTTTTTCCATGGGATGAAAAACTTTCTTATAGTACGTTTACATTTAACCGGATTTAATTAAGCCATTATGTCAAATAAATCCTCATAAATTAGGTTAACCCGGTAAAAAGTTCGAATGTATATGCCGTTTTAGGTAATTTCGCAATTTTAAAAAGTGAAAGGATTGTCATTGAAATGAAAAACGCACTCTGTTGTTACTGCATACATTATCGCA